AAAAATTATAAAAAATTATTCCCAAATTGAATGATCTATGTCGTACAGCAAAAAAAAAAAAAAATATCTATTAATATTTTTGGTATATACATTATAGTTTAAGCGGGAACTTTTCATTATTTATGTTGGGAGAATTTGTGTGTCTTAGCGCAAAGCTACACACAAAAAAAATTATGTGCGCGCTGTCCACCGTGAGGATCGAACCCAGGATTTTAGCGCTAGAAATCCATAAATTTACCGCTGACCCACCTGGTAATTTTTTTGTTTGAGGAAACAGAAAAATACATAATTATACATTTAACTAACCTTTACTTGTAATTTCTCCTCTGACCTTCTAGAATGATTTATTTGGCCAATGAAAAAGGTGTTTCTAGATATGAAAAATTCATTATTATTTAAATCATATTTTATAACAAAATGTAAGCCACATTACGAACGTAACAGCTCGTACAAAATCTACCTCTTTCTTAGGAAAAAGTTGTTAAAAATTTAGCCGGCACTAAAATATTTTTTCACAAGGCAATCTGACCATTTTGTAACTATTTTGATTAAAACATACTTTAGACACGACAGTACATTAATTAAAATTGTACACAAACTACCACCTGGTGAGTGATGCAAGTGATAACTTTATGAGCTTAGTTAAGAAATAACAACATGAATTATTAGAGATTTAAGAGCCGTCAGGAGCTTCAAGAGACTAAACTTGTCTTTGAAACACCTTTATGAAGTTAGCGAAACATTATCATAATTAATTATACTTATCATAAGGCGTTGGAATTAGGCCTAGTATATTTTTAACGCTGCATTCTTCATCTAGTCCCTTGGGGATTTTTGAAGAATGTATATTAGTATTAGGCTTAATATATTTTTTAACCCTAAATTCTTCATCTAGTCCCTTAGGGATTTTCAAGAATCTATATTAGTATAAGGCCTAATATATTTTCAACACTGCATTTTTTTATCTAGTCCCTTAGGGATTTTCAAGAATATATATATTAGTATTAGGCCTAATATATATATATATATATATATTTAACCCTGAATTCTACATCTAGTCCCTTAAGGATTTTCAAGATTCTATATTAGTATAAGGCCTAATATATATTTAACCCTGAATTCTTCATCTAGTCCCTTAGGGATTTTCAAGATTCTATATTAGTGTAAGGCCTAATATATTTTTTTTAACACTGCATTCTTTACTTGGTTCCTCAGGGATTTTCAAGACTGTGTTAAGACAAGTACAATTAATTTTAAACTTGTCTTTTCAAAATGTTTTAACAAAACGACAACAAAGTATATACATGACCATGTACAAACCATTGATGGTTCACGTGCAGAAGAAAAGTGAATCAAACTGTTTGTGGTGAAATAATAGCACAGCATGATGTTCAGAACGTCTAAACACAGGTTTTCTAATTGCGGACATGAGACGAGAACGTTAGTTTAGGTAAAAATGTTAGATTCTATCACAGTAGATTGAAAGACGAAACACAGCGAAACAATAGGTAGAGTGTCCTGACAACACTGAAACATAACAGATTCGAATAGTATTTGCTTTCAATTTTTGATTTTTTAACCGATATGGTTCTAACCTTATATATATATAACTTTGTGCACAGACACAAACACACACACATACATATACGGTAAATATTGTGGTATGGAAAACAAATGTTTAATAGATGCATGTACCAGTACCATTCGGTATATACTAGATTTTCGGCATCATGTAGTCGCTAGGTGGCGCTCTAGGCGTCCGATCGTATCACGCTAGCACCAGTCGTCGTCTGAATCATTTGGTGGACCTGTCCTTTTTATAATTAAAGTTTCTTCCCTACTATGATGTATGTTGCGCCCTCTGTGGTCTGGTTTGTAACCATTTGGCAACGGCGGCGGAAGATGGTGGAAACCTCTAACGTCATCTGCTGCTTGGTCAAAGCTCAGAGGCTTCTTGGATCTGTGAAGGCCTAAATGCCTGCTTTCATTATAAGGCAAAGTTGGGGCGTATTCCCAATCACTTCTATGCGCGTGCTTATGATAGTTACGTGGTAAACTAGGAATACTGACTGTTCGCGCGTTACGGGTTAGCACGTGGCTCTTAGGTCCGTTGCACGGATGTGTTTTTTCCCGCCACATTTTTGGTCCCCTCGTTTCAGAGATGCGAGTGGGTGATGCATTGACTCTAGGAAAATTGAAGATGTCCGAAGATCTGTTCTGCTCCCGTACCGTGGGTGATCGTGACACTATTGGGAAATTGATTCGTTCCATAGACCGCACATTAAGCTGTAACGTTGATGGTTTATTGGGGATTTGGGGTAGTTTCCTTCCGCGTGGTCGACGTTGAAAAGTTAAACTGTGTGCTGAACAAGGACTAGGACTACAAGAACGCCGCTCCAGCCATGCTGTCCTGCGACTTTTGTTTGGTGCTGGCGCGTGGCCTAGGCTAGGCCATCGTCTCTGAAGGCACATATTTCGATGCTCTGGACTGTTGTATCGGATTTCTTCATGGCTGGGGGAGGCATTTCGTTGTCGCAGACGAACAGGGGGAAATCCACGGTGCGACGAAGTTAGGCCTTGATATTTGACAGCTGTTTACGAGAAACAGAGTGAGGTTAGACGATTAAAATAATATCGCTTGAAATAAAAGGAAATGAATTAAACCATCACCTCAGCAGTTTGTTGTCATGGTTTGTAATCTATACGATCATCTAAGACATTTTGATCAAGGAAACCCAGGATCGAATCGTAGCCATCTACCACCACAGACACAATCATACTCAGGATCCATCTACGGCACAATCATACTCAGGATCCATCC